GTTATGTCGGTATTAAAACAGATTAATAAATCTGTTCAAGTTTTAAAATACTCTAGATGACTGATGCATAACACAAAATATAAGACACAAGTTAAATACAAGTTCTAGTGCCTTCACATTTCATTTTCCTCCATACCTGTCCAAATGAATATTTACTAAGAGAGAAAGAGAACTATATTGGAAAAAAAAATTGCTTTGCACATTGTTGAGGTCCCAGTTTATCCTGGGAAACAGTTTTGGTTTTTCCCCAAACCACTGCATCAAACTGGCATCTACACAGTGTTTGTGGTGTGACATGCATCACAAAAAGTAACTGCTGATTATCACCACAAAAATCAAATAAGGAAAACATTCTTAAGAACATGGTTGGTTAAATTTTCCACTTTGTTTGAAAGATTTGCAATTATGGGTTATCTAAAGCGGACACCAAATAACAGAGCAGTACAACAAATGACTGCCTGCTCTGTCATACAATTACTTCAGATTCAGTTAAGTGTATAAACACCAGCCTTCAGCATCACTTCTCAAAGAGGAAATGAAACTAACAAATAGAGGGTGCGCACTTCAGGATACGGACAGAGGCAGTGGATAGGCAGTGAGTTGCCCTACTGCTCCTAAACTGCTCTGCAGAACTTTGAAGAAAATGCAAGTGCTTCAAAGTTCAGTAAGCTAAAGGATTTATTACTTGATTTTTAATAAGAGGGTAATATAAAACACTGCAGAAAATGCCTGTAAAATTAGCAGGAGAAATAATGAACTAAAGCCAAATTCTGACCTGCAGGAAATGGATTCAGTTACACTGACTTCAGGGGAAGTGTATCTAATCACGCTGGGTCTGAATTCATCCAAATCTTTGGCATTGCTTTTGGTGGTAATAGTTTTTTTTCTAGTTATTAATAGGATCTGATTCATAAATTCAGATGAAATATTTTGGATTGCTTAAAAGCTATGGACCAGATTACTTCCTACAGTAACTCTGGTTTAATTGGTAAAAGAGAAAGGTCTAATGTGGATTTAATTTTGAGTTCATTACATTTGTTGGTCCTAATAAGTGAATTTAGTATCTGCTTTCACCCAAATTTGTTTGAATGTAATATCCATGTGAAGTGAATATCCAACCCCAAGTGAAGACTCAACCCAGCTCCAGAAAAGTGAAATAGTGGTAAGAGTTTGAGCAAGCTATAAGCTGACCAATGGCACAAGGACAATGTAGACCTTTCATATACTTCTGTGTTAAGGACAAAAAGTATGTTGAAGAGATAGAAGAACCATACTCTCTGGCTGTCAACTTAAAGCACTTGAATTGGCCCCACCTTTACAGAAAGCATCTTTTCTGCCTCTTTCACTTCTTAGGAATCAGGAGCATCTCTGAGCCAGATGATTGTACCTCTGTGCTGGCTCCATGCTTCAAGTGGCCCAGCTTCTTCTCAAAAAAGACCTTAAACCATCTATTTTGCCTACTTTGTGTGAGCACATTCAGGCTGCCCCCATGACTGCTGAATCATAGGCCCATAGAACAGCCCAGGTTGGGAGGGACCTCAAAAGATCATCTGGTCCAACCTTTTTTGGTAAAGGGAGCGTAGACAAGATCATCTAGCACCCCGTCCAATCACACCTTGAAAGCCTCCAGCGATGAGGACTCTACCACATCTCTGGGGAAGTTGTTTTCCAGTGAAGACTGTTCTTACTGCAAAAAATTTCTCTCTTTTATTGAGATGAAACCCCTCCTGATGCAAGTTGTGCCTGTTATCCCTTGTCTACTCCATGTGGCTCCTTGTGAAGAGAGTCTCCATCCTCTTTTTAGATGCCTTTTAAGTACTGGAAAACTGTGATGAGGTCCCCCCTGAGCCTTCTCTTCTCCAGGGAGAAGAGACCTAACTCCTTCAAGTCTTTCCTCATACAGCAAGTTTCTCCAGCCTTTTGGTCATCTTTGTGGCCCCTCCTTTGGACACTTTTGTCTTTCTGGGTTATTTTTGAATTTTTGGGACCAGAACTGGACACAATACTCCAGAAGTGGCCTTACAAGCACTGAGTAGATCGGGATGATCACGTCTCTATCTCTGCTAGTAATGCCCCTGTGGATGCAGCCCAGGATCTGATTCGCCTTCCTTGCTGCAGCAGCGCTCTGCTGACTCATGTTGAGCTTGTTGTCCACCAGGACCCCTAGCTCCCTTTCAGCAAGGCTGCCCCTCAGCCACACAGATCCTAGCCTGTACTGGGCTCTTTGGTTATTCTGACACAGAGTGCAGGCCTTTGTATGTGTCCATGTTAAACTTTGTGGAGTTCTTGCTTGCCCCCTCTTTCAGCCTGTCCACGTCTCTCTTTAAGATGACTCTCCGTTCTGCCCACATCACCACCCAGTTTAGTCTCATTAGCAAACTTGGTGACAGTGGTTTCAATCTCATCTTCCAAGACATTTGTGAAGATGTTGGAACAGTGTGGGGCCCACTATCGATCCCTGGAGGACCCCACTTGTGGCAGGCTGCCGGCGTGAATTAAAGCCATTGATCACCACCCTCTGAGTGTGGCCTGTGAGCCAATTTCCTACCCATCTTGCAGACCACACATCCAATCTGTGTCTTGCCAGAACTGTTCCTTGAGTTGGTGCTTTCATGGCCCTACATTGTGGTTCCACTCTGCTTCCACCCAACAACTCAACACTGTTACCATGACCAGATGTCCTTGCACTTCCTCAATACCCCAGCTGTTTTGCTAGAATTAGAAGAATTTTTCAGCTTTTCCACTTTTCCACCTCTTTTCATAAACTGATTCTTCTGACTCGAGTGGTATGACTGAGTATGACAACTCTTTTTTGAACATACTGAAAATAAATGCAAACTTCCTTCTTCTCTTCCTGAATGTATACTCTACCTTGAGGGTGTTAATGAGAATAAACTACATACAGATTATGAATAAGTGGCAAAATAAGTTGTGGTACTCCCTAAATAATGAGCTAAAAGTGAAATAGCCATGGATATTCCTTTTATAACTTCTGGGAGGATTGATCATGCTTTTTTTCTTGCTGCTGGAAATGTTTACATATGTAAGATGTTGGCTTAAGTATTAGTTTTAATCAATTGCTTCTATTCCCTATATCAACAAGGTAATTTGCTGTTTTTCTGTTCCCTGCCAGAATGTCATCGTAGCAATTCTCATTCTGCAGCCGTGAAATGTAGCTGGAAACCACAACAAATGATATTGTTGTGGCATGACATTGCAGAAGGCATTCATGTAGTTTTTCTCCTGTTTTTTAATCAGGCATTTGAAAGGAAATATTTTTTGTGTTCTGTCAGAATGTTTCAAAGTCTACTAAAGATCTGTAGGTCAACAATAGAGCAAACTAATGTAAAATTACATACAGAAAAAGGATGACAAAATAATTTTCCTGTAGGTTTGCAATGTCATGTGGAGATTATATATGTTTGGCTTTACCCCATTTTCTATTTAGTGATATACTAAATTCACACTTGCCTATATTGTATTTTCATATTATTCGTTAAAGCAGGATTTCTTTTGAAAGGCCAGTGGTAAAGAACAATGTAATACTCTGGAAAACCCAGTTTTCCAGCAAAATCTGGCTTTGCAAATTCATTATATTCTGATGTTTCTACTGCCTCCCTCTCCAGTGCTATATCTAGCCATTACAGAGGAACTGATTTTCATGGTCATGTCAAACATAAATCAAAGCAGACCGTCAATTTTCTTAAGGTATTTCAGCAATTAGACTGCAAATGTTGACCATTGCATTACTGGTGTTAGATTCCTGCACAGTAACACACTATTTCCTAATTAAACAACTGTAAAATAATCTAACTGATAAGAAATGGCACATGTGGACATCCATCAGAGTTATTTGATATTTGGATCCTGCTGACAGAAAAATGTAATGTAATATGAAGTATTCCTGATGCTTTATGTCTAGATAGTATAAATTCATCAAAACAAACATGAGTATGACAGCTACATACTTTTCTTACTTGTTTTGACAATCACATTATTATTTCAGTGGAATTACGTGCTTTCAAGCTTTCAAAGTGCAATGTGTGTCAGTTGCAGGACTCCTAACACCAAATTAAATTTAAAAATAATAACCTACAGAAGGTTTGATTGTCAAGTTTTTGCAGTGTTCTTCCATCAATTATTTCTTTTTTTTATCGCTTGATATCACCAAGACAGCATATGTTCTTCTTGACAAGCCCTTTGCTTTCAACAAACCACAAAATAGTGCTTTTAGTTTCCATTTATAAAGTTAAACCCATGAAACCTGATTATTCAATATCCATACAGACCTTTCTTTGTCCAATTTAGCACTATTTTAGGACTTGATGTAAAAAATGGCAGCCTATAAACAATTTAGGAGTGCCCTCTGTATCCCAGGTTACTTCTGCAATTGAGATATCCTTTCTTTAAATTGATTGTGAGACTTACCATCTTTAAAATTCAATTGTAAGATAAATATATCCAAATCAGACTCATCTTAAGATTTTCTTGTCAGGTGAGTATCTGGCAAGTCAAATTAATATTTAAAAGTAACCTTTCCAGTTTTAGTTATTTTTAAGACAAATATATGACCATGTAAGAAGATTAAGTGGTAAAATTAGAATGATATTCTAGTACGGTTGCAACTGGGATTATTCTTTTGTGGAATAAGGGTGTATTTCTCCATTATAGTACTAACCATTTCCCAAAAGATGCAGAAAAAGTCATTATTGCTTCAGAATAGGTGTCCTCAAAGGGAGTTAGGATGTAATGGTATTAATTCACACTTGGCTTTCTAATCTGCACACCTACTTGCAGACAAACCTGAAGTCAATCACGAAAGACAAATGAGAGCATGATGCTCTAGTGTCCTTAGGACAGTGAATTGCATTTTTTTGAAGTGTATGCTTGAAAGAAAACTGAAACCATTTCCAAGATCCTCTCTTAAAAATGTGCCTTTGGGCAGTCTTTTATCACAACCCAAGTGAAATTTGATCTTTTCTGACCTTTTACCCTCTTAGGTTACTTCCTGACCTTCTTGGAACCAGTAAACAATATCACTGTAGTCCAGGGGCAAACAGCAATCCTCCACTGCAAGGTAGCAGGAAATCCACCTCCGAATGTCAGATGGCTAAAAAACGATGCTCCAGTGGTTCAGGAGCCAAGACGGATCATCATCAGAAAAACAGATTATGGTTCACGTCTGAGAATCCAGGATCTGGATACCACAGACACGGGATACTACCAGTGCGTGGCTTCAAATGGGATGAAGACAATAACTGCAACAGGAGTGTTGTTTGTAAGGCTTGGTGAGTTTCTGGCTTTTATAAATTACTCAGACTGCTTTATAGACTAGGTATTAGTTTCCACAATAGCCTAATTAGAAATGAATTTGATGTTTTGAGAAGAATTCTCAACATGAAAGGAAATAAATAAAGCCCTTGCCTGGGGCCTCTCCCCCAGCACAAAACTTTTTGGTTGAACTCGATACCCATTTACTGGTAATAAAAGAAAGTAAATACGGATGGAAAGGTCTGTAAATATGTAGTGAAGAAAAGATTTTAAAGAAGTGCCAGTGTAAAGTACAAAAAGGTAACATTTCATTGCCTGGAGCTTTCACTCTACTGCTGAACTCTGTCAGTAAAAAAACTGAAGAGAAGAACAAGAAGCAGTTTTCTATGTGATGTTCATAGTGCTGGGCCCATCCTTGTAAAATACCACATCTGTACTACTATGTGAATCCTGGCCTCAAATTCTGCCCTTTGACAGCTGAAAGTACACCATACCTTTCAAGAAGTACTTATATTGCATTTTGGAGGCTTAATCATCCAGCCTAGAAGGCAAGCTTTTATTTAGTTAGCTTCTAAAGCAACGGGGAAAAAAATTCTAGAGACATTTTCCTAAAATTTCTTCTAATTTTGTAATGAAAATAGCTTAACTCCACAGTTTAGTTTGTAGTGATTCATTAAGTGCTGGATATTGGACCTTGTTCCTGCTGTGACAAAGGTTAAGACCATGCCCTTGTCATACCATAAACTCTGATAGTAAGACTCAGGTGGGGCTTATTAAGAGGTAAGTGTGGTGTCAAGATAACACATTATCTTTTTAACAGCCTGTGTTTTTATGGTGGGAGATATTTTCTAACAAAAATTAAGTCCACTCAAATTGCTGCCTGAGCAGACAGAAGATTCATGTGATTTTTATTAGTGGCTTTGAAAATAGCAATATATAATTACATGCAGGAACGCAGAAGGTTTTGTTTGAATCTTGAGACAAACCTCCCTTAAAGACACAGTTTCTTTTAGATTGCTATTGACTTTTTTTATGCTGTTGTCCTTGAGCCAAACTTGCCAGCAATGTTTGTTTGTTTTATGCTTACAGGTCCAACAAACAGCCCAAATCACAATCTTCAGTAAGTACTTTTTGGAAAATTACTTAATGTACTCTGACCAATTTTATTCTCTAAGAATTTAGTTCATAAAATCAGTAAACGTTGCCTGCAACCACAGTGTGCTTGCTAAAAATAACTAATTTGATTGAAAACTCACAGAATGGATGAAGCTTTTTCAGACAGGATAGCATTGTATTACAGTGGGTTTTGGTTTGATAGCATTTTCTTGAGCAACTTCTGCTTGCTTATTTCATATTTTGGACAAGCAAAATACCACAAAGTCATGATGTTTGAACAGTAGTTATTTACAGGGCAAGTATGGGCTGGAAGAGTGGTTAAAAATGAATGGGTAAAATGCTTAGGCTGCTGTTGTTTTTATATTACTATAACTTGAAAAGTCAGATAAAACAAGACTAGAATCCTGTCTTTGAGTAGCTAGGTAAATCCTCTGTTTGTTAGCGTCACTTTGACTGTGGTGGTGATTTGGTGATTTTTTTGTTAGCTGCCTGGGCTCACTTGCTGATCCAGTCATAAGGATGAAAATAGATCAGTTCTGTTTCATCATCATTGCTTTATGTATTTTAATTTAAATACTGCGTATTGTGTAATTTCTTGAAATAGATTCTGCAATTGATCAATTAATGGAGTGAGGAATGCAGTCTGAGACCTTTTTATATGTTAATGGTGTAGAATTAGTTTGGTGATGGACTAGTTAAAAATAAGAGTAAAAGCAAATTTGTAAAGATACGTGGATGCTTTTAAGACGTACATTATTGATCAGTGGTTGTGATCTCTGAACTCCCAATGGCTTGAGTGAAAACAGTTGAAATAACTGCAGCAGACTGACCACTAATCCATCCATCTTGCATATACCTCAGTCAGTCATCTTACATATATAAAAATAGTACCACATGGTACACATTCTTGTATTTTATATGGACAGAAGGTATAAATGTATTTAAAGGATTTCAACTTTATAGGGATTTAACAAGTTTTCATATTTTTCTTAAAATTGATTGCTAACTTTTGAAGATTAAAAACAGCTGTCCATGACAGAGTATGAAAAAATGTAATCATTTTTGTAACCACTGAAATCCTACTTCAGATCTTACAGCACTTTAGAAAACTGTTATGCACCAGTTCTACAAAAGAGAAAAATAGTGAGATACCAGGAAGCTGTCTGATCTTGTATGAGATCAGAAGGCAGAGACTGGTACAAGAGACAGCAAAGTGAAATATGCATAGTGAATCACTGAACTGAAGTTCAAAGAACAGTTCTCAAAGGCAACTGAACAGCAGCAAGCCCCGAGCACAAGGTGAAAAGCTGGGAACCAAGTTTTACATTGATTCACTTTTTGTTATTGAGCAAATAATTAATCCAATTTCTTTTGGTTTCCCTAGTATTTCCCAAACTGTTCTCCTATACTGAGCATTAACTTATTAATATTTACAAATATCAACATAACTAAAAAAATTCCAATTTATAAAGTGAAAAAAAATTACTATGTGACACATATTTCTTAATTACATGCCCCCCAAAAGTGGAAGTGAATTAAGCCATCTTTCATTCTGGTTTTGCCTAGGTTTTGAATGCTTAACTGTTCTATTTTTGCTGGTTTTGAACTCTAAGTTAAAATAAAGAAAGAAAGAACAGGAACAACAACAAAAAACCTGTCATTTGTATTATGATGCCTCTAAATCAGTCTTGTACCAATAGTATCAGTGGTGGACCTGGAAGCAATAGTGTGCCATCATTGTTGTGGGCCTGCCATTAAATCTGAAGAGTACACTGCTGGTAGATTTTTTTTTTTTTTTAATAACCACTAGATTGAAGAGAAAGCTGAAACTTGAGAAAAACAAGCTCAGGTCAAAGGTCTAGTGAGAAGTTGTGTGGGACTTATCATATGAGGTCCAGGAGCTTTCAGGGATTACAGATCTTTGCGTCATTTCATGCCTGCTCCTGTTTCAATGTTTTTTTCTCTTTCCTTCTCAACCAGGTTTTGTCCACCTTTCCAAAGTTCCTATCCTTCCTTTTGATACTGTCTTTCTTTTTTTCATCTTCTTATGCCTTACAATTGTTCCCGTGTTCCTCTGCTCCATGCCTTCTGCCTAGTCCTTCAAATAAAATGCCGTAATTTGACAGTATTGTTTTTTACTTTCAGAAATGGGTTATGATTTTTTTACTGAATATTTTGTATAAAATTCTGCAGTTCGATTTGTAAGCCAGAAAAGAGAAAAGGGGAAAAAAGGTGAAAGAAATACCTAACTGCTTGGAAGGAGCCCGCATGAACAAAGGGGTCTTTCTGTTTGCTGGCTGCACAGCACAGTCTCATGTTGAGCCACTTGAGAGCTGTTTCTCCTGGCATTAATGCTTCCAAAAAGACACGCTTCAGTGGAAGCACTGAAACCTAAAACCATTGTAACTTGGTTTAAACTATACCTAATGAATTATTAAGGGATAAAAAACATTACCTATGTAGATACCATCTAGCAAGGTATTTTTATGCAGTCTATGTGTTCTGCTGTGAATTTCTACAAATTATCTACAATTACATATTGCCAGAGATCAAATGTGCATTATGCAGTCAGACTTGCCGGTGCAAAAGAGCCCTGACCTTCAGGTAGTGAAGTTGAGACGTTTCCATAAAAATCTGAAAGTAAAAATTTTCAGCCAAATACATAGTCTTAAACTGGTGTGGATTTTTTTGAGAGGGTGGAGAGGTCTTTATTTTCTGTGAAGGTCTGTATCTGTAAAAATTTATAGGGATTTTTCTGTAGAAATGGAAAAATACAGTTTATCCAAATCTATTTATTTATCAAAAGTATTACAATTATTGAAAGTATTGATAGTGAGTACAAATTAATTTACAAAGGAAATAAAATCAAAACACAGTCAGAAAACTCATCTCTGACCACCAGCCTTTGCTGTCCAAGGGGCTGTGCTACTAAAGGACTCTACTACTAGAGGACAAGCCAGCAGGTTGAACCCTTTTTCTCACTGCATAATGCTACTACCTTTTTTATCATTAATGTTATTAGCTTTTGCCCTTCTAAAAAGAGACATCCTGTCCGTTCAGAAAGGTACAAGTGTGTGGAAGTAAAATAAATGGGTAGCAAATACCGGAGCATGTTTTTTTAGCATGCTTTAAAAGTAAGCAACGGACGTTAATCTCTTGGAGGGCAGAAGCAGTTGCCTTCCCTTCTAGAGGTATTGCTTTTACAAGACAACATCATTCTAAAAGGCTATGTGTTCTCTAGTCTAATGTATTTTTCTCTTGAATTGAATGGTTAGATTGAATTTTACCCATTGGGCAAATTCCTGTTTTGAAGCTCTCTAGATTTCTCATTAAGGCTGTGACTGTGGAAATGACGCCTTGATGGGAACTTGGGATGGAAGATATCTGACAGTTTGTTAGCTCTAAGGGCTTCTGGAAAATCTGATGGGGCTTTAGCAGAAGTGAGGAAGACACAGCAGAGTACAGGCAGAAAGAAGTAGCTATAAACTCAGCCCTTGCCAAATATAGGTGAACAGAACTGGCTCTGTTGCCAGTGCTGCACTTTTCCTTGCATGACCTTTCTGCAGTCTGCTCAGGATGCCAGGAGGTGAACATCTCCTTCCAGAGCCCTGTGCAGGGGAATAGGGCTTTCGAAGAAACTTCGAGAAGCCCCTGTTTTATTGAACTCTGAATAAGATCAGTTCTGAGTTTGCAGTCACTGATGCCTGCATGCTGGACCCTTAGAAGGAGAAATAAGTGGGAAGAAACACCATCATCAAGTACAAATAGTCATTCCTTTGGGGAGGAATTTTTGAGGTATTAATCATTCAGAATAAATTTGCATGCTTTCATGCCTTACAGAGAAATTGTCTTCAAAGCCAGGGATCAGATTAGGAAGGCTAAAACCCTGATAGAATTAAGTCTGCCCAGGGACATCAAGGGCAACAAGAAAAACTTCTGTAGGTATGTTGGTGGTAAAAGGAAGACTAGGGAAAATGTGGGCCCTCTCCAGAAGGAAATGGGAAGATCAGGTTCAAGACCATCTAAGGAACCTGAAGCTGCGCAAGTCCGTGGGACCTGATGAGATGCATCCACAGGTCCTCAGGGAACTGGCAGATGAAGTGGCTAAGCCACTATCCATCATATTTGAAAAGCTGTGGTAGTCTGGGGAAGTTCCCACTGACTGGAAAGGGGGAAACATAAACCCCATTTTTAGAAAGGGAAAAAAGGAAGTCCTGGGGAACTACAGGCCAGCCAGTCTCACCTCTGTGCCCAGCAAGATCACAGGGCAGATCCTCCTGGAAACTATGCTAAGGCACATGGAAAATAAGGAGGTGACTGGTGACAGGCAACATGGCTTCACTAAGGGCAAATCGTGCCTGACAAATTCATTGGCCCTTTACAACAGGTTACAGCATGGGTAGATAAGGGAAGAGCAACTGACATCATCTGCCTGGACTTGTGCAAAGCATTTGACACTGCCCCGCACGACATCCTTGTCTCTAAATTAGAGAGACATGGATTTGACTGATGTACCCCTCGGTGGATAAGGAATTGGCTGGATGGTTGCATTCAAAGAGATGCGGTCAACGGCACGATGCCCAAGGGGAGAGCAGTGACAAGTGGTGTTCCTCAGGCATCAGTATTGGGACCGGCGCTGTTTAACATCTTTGTCAGTGACATGGACAGTGGGATTGAGTGCACCCTCAGCAAGTTTGCCAAGGACACCTAGCTGTGTGGTGTGGTTGACATGCTGGAGGGAAGAGATGTCGTCCAGAGGGACCTTGACAGGCTTGAGAGATGGGCCCATGAGAACTTCATGAAGTTCAACAAGGCCAAGTGCGAGGTCCTGCACATGAGTTGGGGCAATCCCAAGCACAAATACAGGCTGGGTGATGAGTGGATTGAGCGTAGCCCTGAGGAGAAGGACTTGGGGGTGTTGGTTGACAAGAAGCTCAACATGACCCAGCGATGTGCGTTTGCCCCCCAGAAAGCCACCTGTATCCTGGGCTGCATCAAAAGAAG